CCATCTTTATACAGATGAATTCTAAATTTTTATTTCCAGCTATGACTTTGCCCTGTCAATTTAATATCTCTCTGCAGACAACTACTAAATACCTGAAGCTTAATGTGTCCAAAATGGAAGTCTTGATTACCCTGCCTCTCCCCAAGTCCGTTATTCTCTCACTGTTCCCCATGTCACAGAATAGTGCCACTATTCATCCAGTTTGTTTAGTTCAAAAATCTTGGAGTTATCCTTGCCTCCACACTTTCTCTTATAACCCCATCCCCAACCTGGCAGTAAAACTTGCCATCTCTACCTTCAAAAATATTTCTTACTGCTTTCATCTTACCATAGTTGCCCAAAAAAGCATTATCTCTTACCTAGATTACTGCAATAACGTCCAAATTAATGAACCCTCTTCTTCCACTCTTACTCACCTACAGCATATTTATTTTCCACATGGCAACCAGTGTTACCCATTAATATATAAATCAGATTATCGCCACCACTCCCAATTTTCTAATGGCCTTACATTTCAATTCAGAATAAAATCCGAAGTTATTAACTGTGGCCTACAAGGCCAGAAAACATCTGACTCCTGACTATCTCATTTGTTACCACTTCTACCTCCAATGATAGATACATCACTGCCAGACTAAACCCCACCTACTATTGTACTGTTCCCTCTGAATGGAAAGTCTATCTATCTGAAATCCAAATGATTCTATTTCTCATTTCATTCAGGTCATTTATTTTTCTTCTAAGTTCTTGTCATTACCTGAGATTAAATGAGATTTTTTTGTTTATCATCTATCATCCCCAGCACAATATAAACTCTGTAAAGTCAGGAGACTTGTTTCTGAAGTTCATACCTATAAACTAACTGGCATGCAGTTAGATGCTCATAAAAATTTGTAGAATCGATGAGGGATTAAATGTATTTATGGTATTATTCTAGCGTTTTTTACATAGTTTTTTATAGAAGTTACAGTCCCTGTCCTCCCTGCAGAGTATACACTCTAAATCCAATGACTAAGTATGTTTTCTCTCTCTATCCAAGAACCTACCAGATTGTTGCGTAGTAGGTACACAAACAACACTTGTGATAGAGTAAATTAATAAATAACCCCATTCTATTTTGTAAGAGAATAGGGAATTCTTATGAACAAGGAAAGCTAAGAATGCCAGCTTAATTATGTCACATATGGCAGAAACAAGGGCCAATTCTGCAGGAAAATACCTTGAAGACCTTCTGATTATTTTTGCCCCTTTTTTAGCATAAAGGTTTCCATCTGCAAGGGAAAGTTTTCTGGAAACAGTAGCTTAGGAAAATACACAACATGTAGCTGTTATAATTGCCATGTTTATACTGAGTTCTGGGGTAGTTGGTCTGAAACAGTCCTGGTAAAAATAAACTTCCAATGTGTTTTAAGCAATCAGTGTTTCCAATAAGCACTTGTCAACATGACCTTTAGTGGTCTCCAGAACTTCTCCTTTACTAAGTATTTAACTGGCTACTCAACTCCTATGGCTTCCTGTCTGCCTTTAATTTTCCCGCAGCAATTCTAATGCTGGAGCTACAACAAGCCATCCTTTGGGAGGATTTCTGATCATAATTTGAAAAGCCCTTGAAATAAGAAAATTGTGGTGGGTTAAGGGAAGAGTAGCAGTACATACTATATATATATTCCTCATATGAGAGACAAGTATAAATGAACCTCACATTTTAACTCCCTTAATCCCTCTTTTCTGGTGAACATTAAACTACAGTCCCTTCCACATTTTCTTTCCTGGAGAAGTTTTGGCTTCCATAGTAAATCAAGTGGAAATATTGTTGATGAAATTATTGCCCATGCTCCATAATAATACTAATATTTAATAGTAATTATAATGCCTATTAAACTGTCTAAGGTAATCCTAAAGTTCTTAAAGCTCTTATCATACTCATTCTTGGGTCTTTACTAGACAAATCTTCTCTTCACTAGAAGAGTTTCAATATTAATATAATGAGACATATTAAAAAGTTTACAAGTAATGATACCAATATAATAAAACGTATAATAAAAATTTTTTTAGGTAATTTGAAACAATCCATAGTGACATCATGAATGTGTAATTCATCTGTAATTAGCTGACCTAATCACATATGTACATAAAGAATATTTTGTGAACATCTCAGTTTTTTTGTGCTTTATTGAAATATGGTTGAAAATAAAATTATATTTAAAATGTGCACAGGGACACCTGGGTGGCTCAATTAGTTAAGCATCTGCCTTTGGCTCAGGTCATGGTCCCAGGGTCCTGAGATCGAGTGCCACATCAGGCTCCCTGCCCAGCGGGGAGCCTGTTTCTCCCTCTGCCTTCTGCTCCACCTGCTTGTGCTCTCTCTCATTCTTTCTCTCTCTCTGACAAATAAATAATTTAAAAAAGTAAAAATAAAAAAGTAAAATGAGCATTATAGTGATTTGATATATATATTATGAAAAGTCTCATCATCTACTTATTAATATTCATTACATTGCATACTTTTTTTGTGAGAACACTTAAGTTATATTCTCTTAGAAAATTTCAATTATACAATACAGTATTATCAATTATAGTTATCATGTTTTCCATTAGATCCTCAAATCTTACTCATAGCTGAAAGTTTGTACCCCTTTACCAATTTCTATTTCCCCCACCCTCCAGGCCATGGCAACCACTTTTCTCTTCTCTGTTTCTGTGAGCTTGACCTTTTTTTTTTTTTAAGATTCCACATATACGTAATACCATGCAGTAGTTGTCCTTCTCTGTCTAGTTTATTTCACTTAGCGTAATGCCCTCAAAGTCCATCCATAATTGTCACAAATGACAGAATTTCCTTATTTTTCTTGGTTGGATAATATCCCATTGTGTATATATGTACTACATTTCCTTTACCCATTCATCTGTTGATAAACACTTAGGTTGTTTGCATATCTTGGCTATTGTGAATAATGATGCAATAAACATGGAAGTATAGATATCTCTTTAAGATAATGATTTTTATTTCTTTGGATATATACCCAGAAGTGGGACTGCTGGGTCATACGGTAGTTTTGTTTTTAATTTCTTGAGTAATCTCCATACTGTTTCCCATAGAGACTATACCAGTTTACATACCCATCGACAGCACCTTTTTCCTACATCTTTGTAAGCATCTGTTCTCTCTTGTCTTTTTGATGATAGCTACTCTAACAGGTATGAGGTGATAGCTTATTGTGGTTTTTGATTTGCACGTCCTTGATGATTAGTGTTATAAACATCTTTTCATGTACCTGTTGGCCATTTGTATGTCTTCTTTAGAAAATGTCTATTCAGTTCCTCTGCCCCCTTTTAGTTGGATTATTTGGGTTTTTGCTACTGAGTTGTATGAGTCATTTACACATTTTGGATATTACCCCTTATGAGATACATGATTTGGAAATATTTTCTCTCATTCCATCAGTTGCTCTTGTGTTTTGTTGATGGGTTTCCTTTGCTGTGCAGAAGCTTTTTATATTAATGTAGTCCTAATTACTTATTTTTGTTTTTGTTGCCTTTACTTTGGTATTAAATTAAAAACTCAATGCCAACACCAGTGTCAAGGAGTTCACACACCATTTTTTCTTCTAGAAGTTTTATAATTTCAGATCTTACATTCAAATCTTTAGTCCATTTTGAGTTGATTTTTTTTGTATGGTGTAAAAATGGGGGTCCAGTTTCATTCTTTTGCATGTGGTTGTCCATTTATTGAAGAGACTATTCTTTCCTCAGTGTGTATTCTTGTATATACACCTCTGTTGTAAATTAATGTGACTATATATATATATATATATATATATATATATATATATATATATATACATGGGTTTATTTCTGGGCTCTCTGTTCTGTTCCATTGATCTATGCATATGTGTTTATGTTAATACCATACTATTTTGATTACTATAGTTTTATAATATAATTGAAATCAGGAAGTAGGATGCTTCCAGCTTTGTTCTTCTTTCTGAAGATAGCTTTGGCTATACAGGTTCTTTCTTATTTCATTTCTTATAACAGAAAAAGAGGAGAGCTTACTAACAGTTTTTATCTCATAAAATACGATAAGCAGTTATAAATCAAATTTAATTTGTCTTAAATCTCCTTTCAAGGGAAGGTGCCAGTAAAGAGGGAAAGAGGATAAAAGGATAGGAAAAAGTAGACACCAGGGGACATAAATCACGATTTCAACTCTACAACTTTATATCTAATTAATATCAACCTCTAGATTTCAAAAGGATGAAAAGGATTTCATTCAAAACTAAGACAATCAAATAATAACAGTAATAACAAAAACCCAAAACATACAGGTTGGCCTTTACATCGGAATCTACCATTTTAGTGTTTAAGATGTTGCCCTATTACTTTTTCTGCTTAATATTTATTTAAAGCTAACATGGCAATATAAAGGAGTTTCCTAAGGCTCTTTTAAATTAAGTCATTTACTCTCCAGAAACTCTCTATCAATCTGTCTTTTGCTCTACAATAGTGTCATTTTTCCCATTTGGTCAAAATCTAAATCAAAACTAGCGTTGGCACCTTGTGAAATGATTATAAAATTGCTAACGACAATCAATAGTAAGGAACAGAAATTCCTCACTAAAAAGTAAGGTGATAAAAACTGGACACAGGACAGAGAGAAGCAAGAACAGCTAATTTAAAAAATTTAATTGGTGTTGATTTCGGTTATAACCACTATTATCTAGACCATACTTAGGAACTCTTGACTAAGATGGGGGCCAACTGAGGAAATAGTCATTTTCAAGTACAAAATACAGACAGATTTAGTGGAGAGAGTTGTAGACATTTTTAAGTCTAAACATCTAGAAATTAGCATTGCTATTTGTTTTTCTAAGGAAATCATAAGCACTTATTCTCAAAACCATGTTGTGAATCACACTACTATGCATCTTGGGAGAATCAAAGCCATTTAGGTAGAATGCCCCAAACTATGCACACCAGAGGCCATAGGGCCTTCTCACCTTAAAAGTTGTGGTGCCATAGAGCTTGGTGGTGTGGACTGTCTCTGGAAGCACATTAGTGATGTTGGTGATGAATTCTTCCAAGTACTTGCAGGATTTCTCCAAGTGTGTTGTATTGATGATAATCTGGACAAGCTAGAAAATAACAAGCACAGGTAAGAGTCACTTGACTATTCACCCTACAACGAATGGCTCAATATGAAATCTGCTGGTAGAAGAAAAACAAGAGGCAAAGTGGCAAGGACCATCCATATTCTACAGAAGGTTTGTTAGAGCATGGGCTTAGGCTGTACTCCCTCCACGAAGCCTTCCCTGACTCCCAGAAGAGCACTTGTCACTCTATTTTAAACATATGTCTTCTTCTGTTTAAGAGACTAGACTTAGAACAAAAACTGCTACTGTTTAGCACAGTGCCTGGCAATAAATAATTGCCAAATGAATTAAGTAAATGAACTCCCGCGGAAAGAACAAGAATAACTGAAATGGCAAGAAGAAGTTTCAAAATTAGGCATAAGGAACAGTGAGATGTTGGAATAGATTTCAGGATATTAACAAACTACATTAGCTTATGGAAGAAATAACATGGGCATTATGGTCAGAGAAACCAGCGAATTAACTACTTACAAATTATTAATCTGGAGAAAGTTTCTTAACTTCTCTAAGTGTTTCTTTATCTGCAAACCGTTAATAGTAATTTCTAACTCACACAGTTATTTTGAGGATTAAATATCCTTTTGTCACTACTATTTTCCTTTTCTAACAAGAGCAATCCTTAAAAACAACAGTACTGGTAAGATAAAAAGTCATCTATAAATAACTTTGAGAGGAGGATGAAAAAGAATGACTCTCATTGTTAGGATAGAATTCAAGTTTGCATCACTAGCCATCAGGGAAATGCAAATCAAAACCACAATGAGATACCACCTTATACCAGTTAGAATGGCAAAAATTAACGAAACAGGAAACAACAAATGTTGGCAAGGATGTGGAGAAAGGGAACTCTCTTACGCTGTTAGTACAGCCACTCTGGAAAACAGTATGGAGGTTCCTCAAGATGTTAAGAATAGAGCTACCCTACGACCCAGCAATTGCACTACTGGGTATTTACCCCAAAGATACAGACTTAGTGAAAAGAAGGGGCACATGCACCCCAAAGTTCATAGCAGCAATGTCCACAATAGCCAAACTGTGGAAGGAGTCAAGATGCCCTTCAACAGATGAATGGATAAAGAAGATGTGGTACATATACACATGGAGTATTATTCAGCCATCAGAAACAATGAATACCCACCATTTGCATCAACATGATGGAACTGGAGGGGATTATGTTAAGTGAAGTAAGTCAAACAGAGAAAGACAATTATCATATGGTTTCACTCATATGCAGAACATAAGCAATAGCATGGAGGACCATAGGGAAAGGGAGGGAAATCCAAAGGGGGAGAAATCAGAGAGAGAGATGAACCATGAGAAACTATGGGCCCCAAGAAACATATGGGGGTTTCAGAGGGGAGGTGGGGGGGAGGGGTAACAGGGTGATAGGTATTGAGGAGGGCATGTGCTATGATGAGCACTGGGTGTTATACTTAACTAAAGAATCACTGAACACTGCATCAAGGACTAATTATGTACTACACAGTGGCTAACTGAACATAATAAAAACAACCAAACAAATAAAAACACTGACTTCCAGATGACTAGAAATAGTCACAGGGTCTCAAGAAACCAGAGCACCCAGGACAGCCCTTCCTTTACAAGTATGTTTTCTTGAGTAAGAAGTAACTTTCTCAGTGTGACATTAATACTTTCTCTCTCTCTCTCTCCCCCCGACAATAACATGGACAAACAGTAATTATTATAATGATAGAGGTAAACATGGCTAAGGAGATTAAGCATAATTATTCTGACTATGTAAAAAGTGAAAAGGACCCTATTTTATATTAATAAATCAATGAAGAAAAAAAGAATTAAAGTTTGCAAAGTAGTTCACAATGCATTTTCTTACATTGTCTTCCCAGCAACCTGGAAAACTAAGTTAAGTGGGCATAATTATTGCTTCTCTTTTACTAAACAGAAACAAAAATGAAATGCTTTTCTTTAGATCACAGAACCTAAATGGAATTAGGACTCAATCCAAGTCCTCTACCTTCAAATTATAGACTCATTGAAATGACTTCTGACAGAGCGTTTTGGCATAAACATAAAAATGGCAGCTGTGGAATGCTGCACGCTTTGGTACATGAGGCTGAAATACCAGATTCTGGGTCTGCCATCAACTAGACCTCTCCAAGCTTTGATTCTACTCCATGTAAAAAATAAATTTAAATTTCAAAAAGGAGGGGTACCTACTTATTTATTTCAACTATGAAAACTATGCCCATTTCCCAGAGTCTAAAAGAAATACAAAGAGAAAATGGAATAGAACCTTTTTTTGTTTCTCTTTCCCACATCCTTAACTTTTTATTCCCACAAGAATGTGTGTGGTAGTGGGGTTGTGGCAGGCAGGGGGAGTTTGGGCGTATAAGGCTATGGATGAACTTAGGTCTTCCCTCAGTCAGAGAGGCAGCCAGGAGAGTAGATAGATGACACAAAGGGAAATTGGAAGTGAAGACGAAGGTGGGGGGTAATACACATTTTACAATCAAATGGTACTTCAAAACAATGCTTAAAAGCTGGAATTATACTGGAGTAGAACTCATTGTATTATACTGTGGAATATTAAACAAAAATATTAATAGGATTATAATCAGAAAGGACACTCTTATCTCCCCAACAGCAAACCAGCACAGAGCTAAAGCACATTGTTCATTCTCAAAAAATACATGTCAAAGCATAATGACAATGCTTTAGTAATAGATTGGACTAAGGAAAAAGGTACCTTCTATTCCCCAAGGATCAGCTGGAAAATGTGAGGAAAATGTCTACTTTTGAAACATGAAGACAAAGAGCAGAAACCCAGAGATGCAGTTCCAAAAAAAAAAAAAAAAAATTAAAAGTTAGGGCAATAGGACTAGATCTTTGTATTATTTCCCACAACTCATCAGACAAGTTCATATTCCTCACTAAGCCCCTTCCCTTCATTCTACAGTTTGAATTTGGAGACTCTGAGTTTTGGACACAGATACTCTCTCTACAAAATTACCCAAAACATCAGACTTTTAACTGTAGAGTGCTCTAGGAAAAAACATCTACCAAAATAAGCAATTCATCACCCCCTTCCTTTTAACATGTTTCTCCCTCAGAGAAAGACTAAAATCATTTTAAAAATTTAAATAGTCTAAATTAAATCACTCCTCTTCCTGAGTGGGAAGGTGGCTACTGGCAAGATTGTCTTGATGTATAAGTCAGAAAAGTAAGAGAGTTAATTTGGAGAACTGAAGAATTTCTATTTTAAAGTCAGCATTACCTATAGGGAACACATTCAATCTATCAAAAGAAATCCTAATAATAAGGAGGAATCATGTCATGTTATCGAAATAAAAAACAGCGGCAGTCAAAGAGAAAATTGTCCTGTTTTGCAGGATATTGGCAGTTAAAAAAAAAAAAAAGGAGGCGGCTTCACTGGGTACAGTAGTAATTTCCCTTGACTTTTTAAAGATCTGTCAACACAGAAGATCACCATGAATTACATCAATTGGCTGTCAGTCACTTTTGAAATGTTTCATTGCTGAGCATAGAATAGACTATTAAAACACTCTAGGATTACATTAGATACCATGTCATTTTCAAAGGGAATAACGTCTGTTAATGAGGTCTAAGTGATCTCTACTCCTGAATGACAGCTAACCAAAATCCTCACAAGGGCATTTACAAATGTAAAGGCAGATACTGTGGGGATAATTCTGAACTTAAGGATGCAATGAAGCAATTTCAGATATGAACTTCCATCAGAGTTTTGAGCTCCTTTGATATTTTTAAACCTCACTTCCCACTCTCTTATAAAAATATATCACTGCAGCAATCCAAACTGTCCTTAACATTGTTTCAAGGACATGGTATTAGCAACAGATTAGGTATTGGTTATGCTTATATAAAGTAGAGTTCTGTGAGGACTGTCTGGAAAAAAAAAAAGAACACTATAAAGCAAGCAATCACCTCACAACTAAATGACAGGAGTCACTTAGGTTAAAAACCATTAAGAAGCAGAAAATTTTTCTGTCTCTCATTCCCAGTAGCAGAGAGAATCTAATGAGGACAGCACAGAGTAAACTGTGGAAGTCGCCTATTACCTTATCTTGTTTCCCAAAGCAGAGAATTCAGGACACTAATGCTCCAAAAGGACTAACCCAAAGCAAGAAAATGAGAAGTCACGCTCCCTCTCCACACCCCCAATGCTTCTCCACTGCTGGGTTTGCAAGATAAAGAACTAAATAGCAGTGTTGGCTCTCATTCACAAAAATAACATCTAGGATTTCAGGGAATTTTTTTCTCCATTTCACCCCAGCAAAGATACAAAAAGCTGGGTCAACTACTCATTTTTTACCATCTCCAAAGCAAATACCTAAAATACTGAAGTACTTGGAACTACTGGTTCCAAATCCATAGGTCTAGTACAAGGATTATTTTTGACAAGACTTAATTACAAAATGTTTTAATGTAATATTAGCAATATCATTGCTGTTAACAGGGGACAGTGAACACTGTCATGTGGGAGATAAATAACAGGACAGAACCATGTGGTCATCAATCTAAATAATATCCAAAAGAAAGGTTGAATGCAAAGCATTGGTTATTTATTCAGGTCTCCTGGGGCACTATTATAAATATAATAAAATATATATATAAATATTTAACATGTTTTCACTAATAGGAAATCTTAATTTCCTTAACTTTACCCTAAGAACCTACTACCTACTTTTCTTTTTTCTTTCTTCTCTCTTTCATCAATGAAGAACTCCTATGTGCCAAGGAATGAGAATACAGCTGTACACAATTATACACAAAACAGACAAAGTCCCTGGCCTTGTGGAAATTAGAGTAACCACAAACACACAGAAATATATACCATAATGTCAAGTAATAGTAAGCCCTGGAAATAGAAGTGAAATAAGGAGTTACATGGTGATGGTAGGTCTCAGGGTGGTCAAGGAAGGCCTCCTTAAGGAAATAACATTTGAGTGGAGACTTAAATAAAG